GGAATGAATCTACAGAAAATTGACTAACGAACGGAGACGTAACATGTATTAATAAGGTCAATCACTCAGTACATTTTGACACTACAAGTATTAAGGTTTTAAAGATTTAGTCTTAAATTTATTTTCAGTTACAAAGAATAAAAGTATCCTCATAGTTTATACTTTTAAAACTAAATTTTCCTGGTGTAAAATATAACTAATTTAAGCATATATCTGTTCACTTTTCAATGATAAAATGCTTTACTTTTCTCTTACAGTGATCCTAAAAATGATAAAATTGAGTGCGATATTTTACTTATGTTTGGAAGTACTGAATATCCAGATCGGTTAAACACTAACCAAACTTGTTTTTCATCTGATGATACAGAATTATGTCTCATCCCACCAAAAGTAGTTGTGGAGAAGAAAATATTGGAAAAAGGTATACTTTTAATACATTGTACAGTCATTATCTATAGTTAACTTTTTGTGAGGATACTTATGAATAACATTATGTAGTTTAAGCGACTAGTCCCTTGTGTAATCCTGTTCCTTCTAAAGTAATCATGTTAGGAGTTATTTGAATGATGGCTTTTGCCACTAAGATATATCTCTCTCTTTTAATTTTGAAGCTTTGTATTTATCCTTGTTTTATCTATGGTGTTTTGATGAAATATCATAACATTATTCACATACCTAAATTAATTTAGGTTACTATATGGTGAAGTAAGGACTCAAGATACCATAGATATTTTATACACTTCACCCTTATATGAGGCCTTATGATATTTCTTTGGTTTGCTGACCAAATCTGTGCTAATAAGCCTTGAATAGATACAACTGCAGTCCATATCAGAGGGTAAGGCTAATCAAGAAATGCATTAGGCTGCTATGTCACGGATTCTATTTTTAATTTAACCTCTGGTGAACAAGAATATATATATATATATATATATACTTGTTTCATTTCATCAGTATGTCTACATTTTAAAATTAATGATTTAACTTGGTCTCTCAGGTTTTTATTGTATAAATTGAAATGTATTTGTTAAAATTAATTACTGGTTATAATGGTTTTTGCATTTAGATAAATATACAGTTTATTTTACAAGACAATACTGCAAGTTGACATGTTTCACATCTAAAAAACGTTTGACATAAAAGTCAAATATGCATGCTACATATACTTGCAGATATCATTGTTAACACTTCTTGTAAGTCTCAAATGTTTGATATGTAGACTGAGCTTTGATTGCTGTTGGTTAAAATTTTTTGTAATGTCAAATATTAGGATAAAATTAAGTCTATTCAGAACTTTTAGGGAGTTACAATATTTTCAAGTTTCTTCAAATAAACTGTATGAATATTATGTGTTTTAATTTGTTGCTTTTTTTCAAAATTTTGTGAGAGGGACAAAAAAAGTCTATATTTGATTATATTTCATCAGTTATTTAATGTACCTTTTTAGGCCCATACCTTAAGTTTTTGTGGGACAAGTCTGGTTTTCATTGATCCTCATGTTTGTGTATTGTCGTCCCTGTTTATTTAGCTTATTTTATCAATGTGTTTAATTTATTGGATAAGATGACCTAAATGGGCCAGAACGTCTTTTGTTGTTCTTTAAGATTACCTTAAAGATAAAAAGTATATATCCAATTATAGTAAATCAAGATCTAGTGTTTTGTAGACCTACTTTTTTAGCTGTTTAACAAAAATTTAACTGTCAGTAAACCTTTCTCCCCAAAAAAACAGTTGCTTTTAAAGAAGTTACTGAAGTATGTTCCCACAAATCCTTTTGCACTTCACCAAAAGTCTGTGAAATGAATAATGAGAAGTTTCACTGTAAATGTCCTAAAGAATACTTCACTGTTGAAAGCAAGGATTATGCTGACATAGGAGTAGACGACATCTGTAATGGTGAGTACTACTTAAATTGTTTTGTGCCCATGAATTTGAAGTTCATCCAGGACCCAGCTAACATCATTTTGGAATAAGAATAAAAAACAATTATTCCTCTCCTATATCCCCAGTGTAACTACAAAGTTATTTAAATCCTTACAAAACGTCTTCCTGGTTTAATTACTTCTATTAGAATATCAGTCAAACTGGATTAATGTAACAGGTGTGGTACATCATAGATCAGTGTTAGTACTTTTGTTCTTTTTTATTTATATCAATGACTGAGACAGAGGAATGGTCAATAGATTATTTAAATTTGCTAATTACATTAAAGTTTTTGGTGTTACAGGCTGTGATTAGGATGCTACATTTTAAAAAAAGATTTAGATTATTTAGTTTGGTGTATAAATGGGAGATTGCTTTTAGTTATAACAAATACAGAGTAATACATGTGGAATATCACATCCTATCACCCAAGCAATGTACTGTTGCTAGTGGCAGGACAAATACGATTTAAGTTTGTGTCTGAAGAAATGTT